TGAGCACTAAGGGATGGGTGTGTGACCAAAAACTTATTATCTTGAGCTCATCCATGCTTCGGAAGGCATATTAAGCCGTTGGTAGGTTCCCTGCTCCATCTACAGTCTTTAGCATCACCAATATTCTTATCAACTTAAAGACGTCTTGAATACCCATTTGGTAGGAAAAAATATTGAACGATTCAAACTAGCTCTTAGTAAGTTAATATGAACGAGGTATACCTAATTTCATTTCATATTGATCTCCCTGTTACATCCATAGGAAAGGACTGTGCCCCAGCAGTGGGGCTATTAATAAGCATATGATGATGATAAACTCAGACAAATCTATAAACGTAAAAAAGCCAATCAGGCCCCGTAGCATGTACACCGCGATGTATCATACGTTAGAGCTTTTTAACGACACTCAACTATTTGACAGCCTATATTATGTTTTAAATTTAGTTCTTTTGTTTTTCCGATATGATGTGAACAAAACACTGCCTAAGTATTTTAAGCTTCAGTTGAAATACTGACAAAACATCATCTGAACCTACTCGGGTTCCATACTTCTAGCGCAAAAATCGTTTAAGTACATTATAGAATAATCTTTCTTTTCCTACACGATGTCAAGGAAATATAACATTCAAGCTTGAAAGTTTAAACTTTTATAATATAACCTGTGTGTGGGTCTGTCCAACAGTATCCTGTAAGCAATTTAGTTGCAAGATTGCACGCCCACTCATCGAGCGTCAAGGAGAAAACTTATAACATTATTTCCAATTAAGGTACAACTTAACCTTTCAGCGTGTATCCCTTTTAATTTAAAATAACACATAATTGGTCCTTGTTAAATACATTTTATATTTTTGTAATCCGCGACTAAATAGATGACGACCTAATTGAGTGAATTTCAACAACTACGATTTTTAAGGGGAATTTTTGTTTTTTGATATCAAAAAACCCCTTAAAATCCTTCTGAAATCCCGACCGAAACCTAATTACATTTTCAATAACGCTTATGTAGGTAGATCTATAAGAATCTTGGCTTGTGGAAGCCGTCTTCAAATTGCAACGTATATTAGTCTTATGCAGATTAAAAAATGCTCATTTTCAACTTTCCTAAGTCATAAAAAGTGCGTGCGTAGTGAAATAGTGAATGTATGTGTTAATTTTTTTAATTATTTATCTTCTGTTTAAGTCAAAATAATATAGATACATTTGTATGAGTGATGGGAGTGAACTATTTAAATGTCAAACTTTATGTTAATTTACATCTCAAATGTAATGAGAAATTCGTCACATGGTTTGCATACTAGATACCCAGTTAATATATTAATAAAATTGCATATAAATTAGCCTATATAAACTGAACAATAATTGCGCTGGATCGTTGGAAATCTTTGTTACTGTAAGAATCACCCATTATGAAAACGTACCTCTACACCATTTTCTCATTAAGGTAATAAATAAACCGGATCAACTAAGTGTCGCCGCACACGGGCCACCGACCACAACCACAAAACGCCGCCACCGGCATATTTCTTGTAATTTTCATACATTTTAAATGGACTCGCCACACACGGCACAGCGGTAGCCGCCATCCGCTACAAATCATCGTTGCTCGCTTCTTGTGGCCCGCACCGACCACTTAATGCGCCGATACAAAACGCCGCCACACGTCACGCGCGCGATTCCTCACCCCTCTCTCCCTTACCTTAGTCGGCCGCTGTCGCGCGCTTCAGCCACTTTAGTAGCTGCTTCTAGCTTCTCGTGGCGGCGTTTGTGGCTGTGGCGTGTGGCCCGTGTGCGGCGACACCAAGGCACTTAAACCAAATATTTACTAAGCACAGTACTTTTACACTATGTCAGCGTAAACTGAGGCAGGCTCCTAATTGGCCGTGTTAATTATTATATTCTTTTTTTGTTCTTTAGGTTAACTTTTCTTATTTTTTTGTTGTTTTAGTTATTGGTTTTTCTTTTGTGAAGATGGCTCACAAAGGTTTTATTTCATTTCATTAAGCAGGAATTGTAGCTGAGCACTGTATTCGTTTTTCTTAAAATGGCCTCCGTTCCGGTTCCTTCGTCGACCTCCGTGGCCGAGTGGTTTGTACGCCTGGGTTTCATGGTGTCGCCGACTCGAGAGGTCCCGGGTTCGAATCCCGGTGGGGGCAGATGTTTGTGTGATGAATACGAGCATTTGTACTCTAGTCATGGATGTTTAATATGTATTTCTATATAAATATACTTAAATATGTACAGTGTATGTATTCTATCCGTTACCTTAGTATACCATAACACAAGCCTTACAGTGCTTACTTTGGGGCTAGGCTAATTGGTGTAATACTTCCAGTATTTATTATTATTATTATTAAAGAAAACTAACAATGTCCTACATTTTACTTGAAAAAAACCACTCGGTCCAGATTTCAGATGCGACTCGAACCTACATATTCCGCTATCCGATGGCGTCGTTATTTTTTTCAAATTGACGTGGGTTACCTACAATGCAAAGAGATGACGCTATTTTGCAGCCTAAGAACTTGCGGAACCGCAAGACTGAGTTTCGTCATTTCAAGTGAATTTCTTCAAATTTTACTAGAATAAATTCCACGCGGACCAGTGGGCCATTCGCCTAACGGAAATGCTATTTAAAACGCTAACGCTTTTGATTTTATTTTATTATTTCTGACCGCCGAAGGTTTTCAAATACCTCACGCTCATTTTTTTTTATATTGTTATTACCAATGCAAAAGAAAAAAAAGAACGCGAGGCATTAGAAAACCTCAGGCGGATAGAAATAATAAAGTGAAATCGTAAGCGTTAGCTTTTTCCAAAGCATTTCCGTTAGGCGAATGGCCCCCAGGCAGCAGACGGGACTAAACCCCTCCGTTATCCGGGCGGATGCACTGACCATTATGCTACCGCGGCCCTAATGGTCGTGACGAATTTTTTCTAGTATTTCTTAGGCTGCAAGGCTGCACCATCTCTTCGCATTCTAAGTAACCCACAATGTCAAACGATACCTTTGCAAGTATTAAACATTTGAAAGAAGAAATAGCAATTGTAGTTATATGACTTTTTATTTTTAAGCATAGATGTTTCAATATAAAATAAATCGACACGACCATTAGGACCGCAGTAGCATAATGCCGGATAGCGGAGGGTGGGGGTTTGAATCCCGTCTGCTGCCTGATTCACGTGAGATATTTTCTAGTAAAATTTTCTTTCGATTTAAACATTTAGCAGTTAAATGCTTAAACTTATAAATATTATAATGTTCTACATACTAGACGCATAAGTAAGAAACTGCATTTACGATAGCAGAATATAAGTGAATTTCGCATAGGCCTTTCATGGGATAGGTGACCTGGGATCTTTTATTCTTTCCTGTGCTTAAAAGTGAAGTGAACTTAGTCACGTGTGTCGTTTTTTCACATCCATAAAGGCAAGTCTGTATTTTAGCAACAAACAAAAATAATAAAAAAAACGACGGGTTGCACTCTGGGAGTGCCGGCAGAAGTGAAAACTTGAATATTAAAGTTGTGCATTTTTGATATTTTGGAATGGTTAGGGAATAATTTTACACGAATTCCTTTAATTATCAGTATAAAAGTACTATCATGTATGTGGTAGAATACAATATTTATTTATTGCGCTATCGTACACAATCATGACAATTTATATTACATTATAAAGGTTTATCTCTCAGAAAAATCAACTTACATGAATCACGTTTAAGCGCACTTAGCGACATCTATTGTGAAAAAATGCATTTTCTTCTCAATAAAGCTGCCACGTGGACGTCCTATAGAAAATTATAATTTTAATACGGTAATATAAAATATTACTATGTTTCGTCCAATATATTGAAAGTCAACAACCTTTCCCATTTTTTTGTGTGTTATGATGCGATCAGCCCACGTGTTTAATCTGACGCGAGTTTAACATTTTTTACCCATACAAAAAAAGTGTACAACACCGCTAAAGAAGTTTTCACTTCAAAAATGTATAATAATAAAAAAGGCATTATAGCCGTATTAAAATAAATTTAATATTTTTTCTTACGTAAGGCGCCATATCGAATAAATTCACACTTCTGCTGTAAGTCAGATTCATCAGAAAATATATTTCACGTGGATTTAAAATCAATAAAATTTTCACTACATTTAATGCATAGAGGCTGTCAGCTTAAAAAGTATACAACCTATATTGTTGCATAGTAAAATACTATTAAACTGAATATGTATATTGATAACGAGTTTCATATTTTACGTAACTGCTTTAGAGTTTAAAGTAATATTGTTTTAATGTTACATTATTCTTATATTATATTCGATACCCTTGTCATTACCAACAAGCCACACTTCATAGCGGAAGCCACCACCACTTCACCCAATGTCAATCGTGGGAGATACATCCTGCACCATTGAGATGTTGTTGTTGTTAAAAAGCTTTTCCAAAACCTTTGTTAGGTATAATAAAACTTTTCATTTAAATAACGCATAAAATTTCTTATCTTCCAACATTTATGGTCAGCTCATACTAGGACAGAGTCGAAGCGCATTGAAGCGAATTTCAGTAACTTAACAAAGCAAATTCACCTTTATTTCCGCAGCGTAATGTATATAATTATCTTCTGAGATAAAAAGAAGACGCGAATGCTGCTGATTATCAAATCAGAAGGAATATTATTATTAATAGCATTACGTTGCGGAGGTAAGGGTGAATTTGCTATGTTGTTGCTATTTCTGCTTCGATGCGCTTCGACTCTGCAATTAGTATGAACTGACCATTAAAAAGAAAAAAGAACACATCCAGCCAAGTTCTTTTTTTAAAGCAAAATGCTTTTTTCTCCATTCTTGATTAACCAAGAAGTATTTATAGTCAAACTTGCGTGTTGATTAAAAAAATAAAGCATATCCTCAACCTTATTGACGAGGTTATACACAAAAGTGATTAAAAAGTCTTTGGAACCCCAGCGGCAAATTTTGTCGAAATTAAAAAAGAAAAGCACTTACCTGGTAAATAAAGCCGCAAAGAACCACACCAGAGCGCAGATGAGGGTCGCCCTTGTCTTCGTGCAGACGTATCCTGCGCGGAGGGGCTCGCAGATTGCGTAGTACCGCTCGAAGCTGATGGCCAGGATCGTCAGAACGGATGCGTGGGTAACCGTCAGCTCCACGAAGGGGACTGCCAGACCTGGTAAGCAAATAAGGTCGTCTTTATTAAATATTAACGACACCATCCACTGCCCATCGTTTTAATACCTAACAGTCCAGTTTAACCTATAGTTGTCTGGAAGGAATTGCTTTCAGTGATAAGGTTTGAACTTTTATCACTGAAAATTTTATGATTATTTATCATAGCGTAAATTTTGATGTAATTTGTTGATAAATTCATTTATTTAGCAGCAACTAAGTAAATCAAACTTAAAATTTAATGACGTTTTTGAATTATATAGCACTGTGTGGCAAACAAGCATAAAGCATGGTAGTGTACTACTGTTATAATATAACCTATATTATAATAGGTATAATACCATAGAGTGGGCGTTTCATCCCCTACCGTGTGGAACTCTAGCAATATAAGCAATAAAGTTCTACAGAATAGTGTTATTCATCTGTATTCTTCTACTGATAAACGAAATATAAGAAGACGATTATGAAAGTCTGCTGCCATTTTAGTGCTTTGATTTTCGCCACTAAGTAAAAATGAAAAAATCATAATTATATTTAATATTAAGGGTATACTATATTGCGTATCTAAGTATAGTAGTTATATCAAGACTAATATTGCGTAGACCAGATATAACTTTTTTACGTCTTTACTTGAATTTTTGATTGCCGCATTGTGAGTATTTTATAAAGTTGAAATATGTTAGAAATGTTAATAAACATGAAACAAATGTTAGCGTCATGGATGGATGAAAAGCGTGGGCACCAATATCATTCAAAATCTTGATGAGAGCAAGCTTTATGTTTCGAATTAAAAGCAAACTTCGCTATCTGAAAAGCTTTGAAAGCTTTTTATATGAGAGCAAACACACCCGCTTCTTTGAGTTTTTGCTGTTCAAATTTTGATGCACCTGTTTTATGGCAACTTTGTCTTTGAAAACCATTGTTCCACAACTTGATAACAGGACTGGAATGAGCATTCACTTTTATATTTTTTTTTGCACCGATGTGCTGTCATCTATGCATGCATGAATATTTAAAAGTAATAGCTGTGTTTTTTCCAGAGTACCCATTTTAGTTTGAATTGGAGAGGCTGTCTGGGAAAGAACCTTTGCTTTACTGCCCTTTGGGTAAGGATCTTTCTAAATCAATCTTTATACATTACCCTTATTTTACAAAATAAATCCTTCAATAAAAAACATAAATGAAAAATTACTAAACGCTTTATACAAAATCCTATGGCTTAGGTAATTCCTTTTCGACATTTCTTCAGATTCTATTTTTAAGTTACCCAACAAAACACTTTGCGTTCACAATTTTTGGTTATTTATTTATTCGCAAGGGTGGCATTTAAATGCAAAGTAAATTCACAAATATTTGATGAATTTGAAATTCAGATAGACACGAGCCACCTTGTTATGTTTCGGAGTATTTTTGTTATTGCAACCATTATAAATAACTAGCAATCTACCTCGGTTTCACACGGGTGATATTAATTTTTATAGTATAAGGAATAATGTAGTTTGGTATAAAATTTTGGTAAAGGAATTTTTGAAATTGGTCCACTAGTTTTTGAGTTTATTCGTTACAAACATAAAAATCTCTATCATATAAATAAGGATAACTATCGAAGCTAGTTGCTTCATAAATGACAATTGTATGGATTACCAATTATATAATAATAAATATATTTCTATTTGTATTGGTTTAGGTTTATATATTTTATTCTCTTAAAAACATATGAACTAGAATTTTCAAGAAAATTCAATTTATCTAATCATCCTACATTATACAAGTTTTTACATAACATCATTAATTGTGGGGCCGATGTAAAGAAGACACGTATCGTCTGCATACATTATGAAGTGATCAAATAAACCAATATTATATATGTTGCTCACGTTAATAAAATAAAATAAAGGAACTATTATTGAACCCTGAGGTATAACAAAATATTTTTTTACAATTATGGATTTTTGATGTGTTACATCTTTTCTTCTCGTCTTTCTTTTCCTGCAATTTGTGGGAGTGATTTAGTGAAATGGGACGGAAATGTGTAACAGGAAGTCGCGAAAGCGCGCGCTATTTGATTTGATTTTAGAACATAATGTTCAAATGGCTTATTCCTTTTGCAGTAGGTTTTATTTCTATTTTTACTAATATAAGGTGAGGTTTCAAATGTTACACATCATACGCGAGTACTGTAAGACTCGCTCGTTTTTTAATTTATTTACCTTCTTTAACAATTTGCAATCTATTATCAAGATATTATTAAAGTAATTTTAAGGCTGGACAAGATATCACTCTGCCATTCTGTTTGTGAATAAGTGTCTCGTTTCTTATCATGTCAGAAGGCATTTTTAGGTCAATAAATATGACCAGTGCATTTTTTTTGTCATCGATGTTAGATAAAATCTTTGTGATTATATCCTCATAATTGTAAGAGTTTGGTACAAAATTATATTGTTGTTTGATAAAAAGCCCCTGTGTTAAAGGTAGGCAAATAGCCGATTGTATAGAATTCGTTCAATCTTTTCGATATTACCGGAGGTACCGAAATGAGCCTATAGTTGCTGGAAGCAGATTTATAAAAGAGTATGGAAAAGTGCCCTCAGATAAACCTTTGTTAATGCAATTCGATAAACTATAATATCTTTTAGATTTTGTGCTTATACCACTTTGTATTGACGACAAACTGATGTATTTCTAATCTTAAGAGTCTAAATAAAACATCTGAAATCAGTTTATTTTATACTTTTAACAGTTTTTGTTAACAATAACATCGATGAAACGTGGCCTAAAACTAACCCGTGGAGACCTAGCCTGACCCTGACTCACCGACGGAACGCAACACCACCCAAAGCTATTATTTCACTGCAGTTTTTTGTAAGGTGGAGGTTATTTTCTCAGACGAGCGCAAAAATATGTAGCACAAACATTGCTAAGTTCGGGACTTATAAAAATATCAACTGGATTTGCAGCCCCGGCCATACCATTCGTCATTCTATTCGCGCCAGTTCCCTCGTATATGGTAAATAATGTACCTAGTTCTATCTCACATTTCAATGGGACACCGCCACCGCAGTCTGCCTGTGAAATCGTCATGATTTAGAACACCATAAATTGTCACCGCCACTTCTGGTGAATAAAAGAACAGGCATATCAATTCGTTGGTGTCAAATCTTTTTATAATGGCATAACTTAGTTTTGGAATATGGAATAATGTTAGTCTTATTAGCGATGCATAAATCCGTTCTGTTATTGATTAGACACGTGATTTTTAAATCAATAGTTTTTATTGTTTTGTTTAGTTGGGAGTTAGGGACACTGCCGTCGCATCGGTGTACATTAAGGTTTTTGTTCTCGGCCATTTTTTAAATAGGTCCGACAGATGACAGATTTATTATTCATACAAACTTTTTAACTGATGATGAAAATTCATTTACACCGTTTAGTAGTAGACAGACATAAGCGGCGGCGTTATTTGTATTTACTGACTTTCTGCCTACATGTGCTAGTTCAAATAACGCGTGATCGTTTTTTCCCCATTCGTTCGCATTCTATGAGATATCATGAAATTGATATAATATATCTTATATAAGTGAGTTATAATTTCGAAGCAGGTTAAGGTCATAGCTAACACTCTCAGTACACAAACAGCACTTTATCAAGTCCTACATAAATCTGAATTTCCTTTGTGAAATGCTTAATACGCACGCCTACAGAAGGTAATATAGGAACAATGGATCCGATAAATACTGCCAACGTCTTCCCGATAATTTGAGAATACTACACACCACCAAACCGCCAAAACAGCAGTTGGATCGGGCGATTTATTGGGCCAAGATAGAGGCATTTATGTAGATACCGAAAATAATGACTTTGCAACGAAAAAAGTCAGTTTCGAAAAGTTTTCCATAAACGAATTGACCATTGTCTTTTTTAGCAACATGTCTTCACTTTTTACGTAATAAATAAATTTATATAAATATTTCCAATACTCACATCAATTAGCCTAGCCCCTAAGTAAAGTATGTAAGTATTATTTTTATTATTATTACCTCTCTAGTCGGCGACACTATGAAACCCGATTTACAAACCACTCGGCTACGGAGGTCGCTATAAGATAAAGGTAATTTAAATAAGGTCCCTACACATTTTATAAGTTAAAATTCACCGAGAGAATGATTTTTTAATTCAGTACAACCTTTTTAGACTAGGCTAATTTTCAAGATAAAAGTCAATGTGGATTCTAAAGTCAAAACAAGCTGGATTCAAATCGATGCATTCGCATGGATAGTGAAAAATACAGGTTCAAATTGATATAGGCATGAAAACTGTAGATTTTATTCGAGTTTTTTTTTTATGCAGGCAAAGAAGCTGTTAGTCCACCTGATGGAAAGCTGTCATCCCCGCCCATAGACTCTCACTCATGCGTTGGTGGCTCTGAGGGAAAAGGTTTACCCGCCCTTTGAAGACTGTCATATCATAGCTTAAAAGGAAAACCGCTAAGTGATGTTATTCTTTCCAGATCTTGCTGATACGCAAGAATAAGGAACGCGAATAAAGTATCGTGTTGGAAAGCAAAGCGTAAATACGCAATTTATAGTGTAACAATTCAAGGTATGTACTTAGATTTTAATAATAATATGCACTATCTTGCAAAACTAAGTATCACACTTTTGTAATTGCAATAACTTTTAAGCTTAGACTAGTTACAAACAGAGACAATTCGTTTATTAGGGGGATAAGACAGGAGAACCTTGGGGAGACTAAGGGGATAAGACAGGAGAACCTTGCTTAATTATCACGCATGTTGTGTTTGCCTTAATATAACGAAACCGTTTAGATATAAGATACCACCATGTATGTTTAGATTGCAATAATGTTTTTGTTTCTGGCGAACCGTACATATAAATAAATAGAAATCCTCACGACAAGGTAAAAAAAGAATTAAGAAGCTCGGTAGCGCGGGTTGTTAGCGCGTTCGGCTGCGATCGTTGAAGTTAAGCAACTTTCGCAGTG